TTTTTTTTTTTTTTTTTCCCCAAAACAAATTGTATAAATTTTGCCCAAATCCAAATAATTCCTCTACGGAGGCATCGAGGTATGGAGGTTTCTGTACAGTTCTCGTCGGTTTCAGACATACCTAGAGCGTCCAAGTATTTTTTTCTAAGAAATAAAAAATAAAGTTGGTTCGAATCGGGTCCGCCGACTCGGTGTATCGAATAGATCTTATATTTGTTCAAACTATCCGTGGTTTTTGGGTTAGATCCGGAACAAAATTTCAAATTTAAATTTTTTTGGCGCCAAACCCAGTGATTCGGGCTAGTTTCGGTTTTGACTCGGAACCATTGTTAGTCGGCCATCCGACTAGACCCAGTAGCCAGGCTACCTCTAGCAGCGAGTATGATACCTAACATTTAGATATTTAGGGGGGGTCATTGGTGGGGATTAAAGCCAGTAAAAATCAATCAAAATTAAATCTTCAGTTAAACTAAGTTAAAAGTGAGTTATTTTGAAAAAAGTTGATAGTGGGATGAGCGAGATTGTCGTTAAATAATATTTAAAATGTAACAATTAAAATATATGTAATGTAAAAGTAATAGAGAGATGATGGAATTGATAGATAGTTAAATATATGTGACTAGATGAAAAATGAATTAAAGATGACGTAATGTAGGAGATAAATTATTGATATTTTGTTATATTAATGATATTGAGGATAGTGTGGTTGAGTTTATTTTTTATTTTTTTTTTTAAATGGTACCAAAGATTCCCGTGCTTGCGCTCGAGACTAATCTTGGAACCTGAACCGTGAGCCCCTACCCAACTCAGGGAGGTAAACTGCAGAATGTGTCCCAAGTGTTTCTCCATTTGACCCCCTTTATACCCTTGGTCCCCATAAAGCCTACCGCCACAAGAGAAAAATTTGGGTTAGAATTTGAGTTAAAGTAAGTGGATCAAACCTGGTCGATCAAAATCAGTTTTGATAGCCTACCAGTCACCAATCTTATACTTTTTCAACAGATATTCATACGTTTAAAGTGCAATATTTCAAACTGAAATGTCATATTTTTCAAAATAACATAAACAATAACATAAGTCTACATTTTCGTTAAAAAAATATTATGAGTCAAATCGCCGGATGACTAGACTATCTAATACAAGAATGTGTGTTTGCCTAATTTATGTGTGCAATGTGATTTTGTGGTGAATTTTACACCAAGTATCAGCGCCTCAAAGGGGAGGAAAACCACTCTTCTTTCTTGTATTTTTCCAAACCAAGTTGTTTTTGTGCTAGACAGACAGATCTTTGACAATGTGACTTGACAAATGAAATGTGCATTACATTAATAACAAGAGATCTGAAAATAATTCTTTCATGGCAATCAAACTGTAGAGAAATGCTCACCTACCCACGGTGGGCACATGTTAATATGCCCATCGCGTAAGTGACATGCACTCATTAACTGTATAGAGTTGATGCATATGACAGAGTTGAGTGGACTTTCCTTCCTAATGTGTGCAGAAAATGATTTTTAGTAAAACTTTTGTTTCATGGATTTTAGCTTCTATAGGTTCTTCTTTATTTTCTTTTCATTTAAATAGTCAGTTGGTTAGTTTTTGTTAAACCTTCTAGAAGCTTAAGACATGGGGATCCACTCTCCACTTATATGTTTATTCTTTTGTCCAAGACACTTTGTCTAATTTTATTAAACAGTCTATAATTTCTAGATCTTTTTAGGGGATTAGGATCAGTAGACCTGCTCATGTTATTTCTCACATTTTTTTTTTTTTTTTGTAGGTGGTTCCATTTTTTTTTAAAGGCTAATTCTCAACGTGCTATTAGGATGCTCATTGTGTAAGGAATGGAATCAGGAATCAGTCTGCCAGCCTACATACTCTACATACTCTGGTGGTTATGAAAGGCTCGAAACAATTGGTTGTTCAGAGGGGATGTTGTTAAATGTAAAAGAGGCGGCAGAAGGTGCGGGGAATGAATGGCTGGAATATGAGGAGGTGGAAGGTGGGCTGAACAAACAACGTTTCAAGTACGAAATGGAGGATATTTAACTAGCTGTACAAGGGTTAAGTTAGGGTAGGACATTATTTCAATTAGTTATCAAACTTTGCTCTACTTGTTGGCTAGTTAAAGTTTGTTATTTTTTTCTTCTTTTGGTAGCTTTGGAAGAGGGGTTTAAGGGTGTTGGGTGGTTTGTCTTTGGCTTTGTTTGGTTGGTTGGTCTTGACTGCTGGTAGTCTGAGAGTCTTTTGAGAAGACCTCTTGGTGCATATTGGTGCTTAAGAACTTTTCTCCTTGTTGTTTAGTTTCATTGGTTGTTCCCCTTTTGGTAGGTTGGTTTTTCCTTTTCTTTGTTGTAAATTTTCAGTTGTAGTTAGTTGTGAGAGCTATCTATTAATGACCTTTCCTTTTTTTTTTTCTCAATCGGTAATGTAAATTTGTAGATCAAAATTGGTGTTCCAATGACCATTAGACGACCTACAAAAGCGAAGTGGGCAGCCACATATACGACTCGTCACTCGCAGAAAAATGTCTAATAGGCAAGCACAGGTCGATTGTTCACTCAAGTTCCAAGCAAAATAAAAATGCAAAAACCCCAAGCGTGTTACAGCCTGACCCTAGGCTTCATGCGTGTCTCGAACAATTAAACGAACGAATTCGAACACGATTTTTAGCTCGAAAAATAAACGAACAATCACGAACATTGTTCGAACGTAAACGAACACGAGCTCGAACAGCCCAAGCTCGATTCGGTTCAGTCGTTTACAACACTAGTTTGAATGTTACTCGATGTTTGAGGAAAAAAAACAAGAGGGTAACCACATAGCACTATTTATAATATACATGTTGATAAATAAAAAACACAAAACATTTTAAGTCAACCACTTTTTTTTAGCTTCACTCCACTATTATTAATATTATCAATATAATTAAATAATATCAATCAATCATTCATACACACCACACCAATCTTAATTCTCTATTCATCCACTGACATTGTTTGAATTAATCATCACTGCAAATAATCTCCCTTCTACTTCTACATCAAAACAATTTTAATTATTTTATTTTAGTTAACAACTAATCATACCATATTTTTCAAAATTAACCAAACCAAATCAAAAATTCCAACAAACACTAAAATTTTTTATATTCATGATGCACTCACTTGATCTTCTACTGAGGGTAAAACTGTCATCCCAAACCTTGCAACTAAATTTTCAATGGACAACATTAAAACTGCAGGTTCATATATCTTGTCAACATATCCTACATGTAAAAGCATATAGATAGGCAGGCACTTCACCAGTTCTTCTAACCACATCAAACATCACAATACAACTTATATCATAACAAGAATATCAAATTAACCTAAATATGTGTCCAAAACCTACACTTCGACTAAAAGTCAAAAACATATATAGTTATATATACACACACAAACGCAAAAATAGTCTGTCAGCTCGAGCCATCGAGCGTCCCCTCACCCACGGCCACGGTCGCCCTAAAAACCAAAAACCCGACATAAATTGCTATCAACCCTACACCAAGCACCTTACCGAGCTTCATCCCATTCCTTGGCACCATCACAAGGGCCCAAACAAGGCCCAGCATAAGAAACCCAAGAGTCGAATACAGACTCCAGTCCCTTGGGATCACGTAACACCCGGGCCTCTTGAACCAAGCCCCCAGGAGCAAAGACATGCCCAGCCCGACTAACGTGTTGAACATTGGGCCCGCATAACTGCCAGAGACCGCGATCTGCACCCCGTGAGACCCGCCCAAGGCAATTGCCACATTCGACATGAGATCGCCCATCGAGTTCCCCCAAGCCAGGACAGTCAACGCAAGAACCGAAGGCTTGATCTTTAGCATGACACCAAAAGTCACCAATAAAGCTACGAGCTCGTTTGCAATAATGTAAAACCAAACTATGCTCATCAAGAATCCGCCCAAAACCCAAGGGAGCAAAAATTTCCGAGGTGGGCGGTCGGGTTCCGTGCACACGAGCGCTAGGAGCCCCAACGTACAACCAACTACGGCACCAATTAAATAAAAGCCACCCCATAGGATAGATAACAAGAGGGGTGCAAAAAGGGCACTTGCCACTGCATATTTCTTGGACCACCGATCCTCCTCGACTATAGGGATTGTCACCCTTCTCGGGATTGCCAAAGGGAATTCAAGCATGAAGCACAAATTCGAACATGAGAGACACGAGCGCTTTTCACTTCTATCCTCCTCCTCCTTCCAACCCCACAAGTAACATTTCGGATCCTCGCCATCATCGCTCGTTTTTCCAAACTCGTTTGAATAGATCACCACATTCGAGGCCCACATCCAATGGGGTAACTTCGACTCCAAATGTGGCACGCTATCCTCAAAATCCACAATCGAAAGTTCCTCGTCAACATTTCCACCGCCGGACGAAACACTTTCCGTAACGGGCAATAAGGGCACAAGCAAATTCAACCTCAACCCCTGCCCGTGCTTTCTCACTAATTCTCCAATACCAACACACAATGCATAAACCACATAAACCGAAACAAAAGCAATAGCACCAGCCACACTAACTTCACCCACAACCAAAATAATAAAAAGTGACACGAGAGCTATTAGAAAAAAACCCACGTCCCGAAAAAAACACTTCTTGTCAATCTTTACGTCTTTCCCGGCCACACTCAAGGAGACGGCCCCCACGACCACACAAGTGACGAACACTGCCCCACCCAGGACGCTGTTGAGTCCCACCTCACCCGAGTCCCGGCCCACAAAGGCAGCTATGCTGGCAAACACGTCCGGGGCCCCATTGCCCAGCGGAAGCAGGGTGGCCCCGGCCACTGTGGGCGAAAGTTTCAGTATAGTAGACAGTTTTTCGAGAGAGCAGCAGAAGTAGTCGGCTGCAGTATTTCCAAGCAGATAGAACAAAGCGATCAGCCAGATCGTGAGGACTATGTAACCCAAAGGCTCGACTTTTTGACAGTCGCAGTAGAAGAAAATCATGTAGTTGATAAACCCGCCGGGATTGCAATTCGGGTTGGCTTTCAAGTAGTGGCATTTGGAGGTGTACCCATTATGGTGGTAAATTTCAGTGCAGATTGTCGGGTTTCGGTTCGAACGTATGATGGCATTGTGGTCTGAATCGGCTTCCCGGTTCGTGATTCGTGTGAAATTCAACGAATTTACGGTGGTTTCGTAAATTCTACGCCGGAAAGTGGGATTTCCGGGATGATTGGGTTTAAAGATTGGAACTTTCGAAAATGGGTTTCGAAAAATACCATCTTTATGGGTGAGGAAGAAGAGCAAGATCAAGAAACAGAGCCCATTGAAACTTCCTCGAAATTTCGATAGCTTACGAGGACAAAACATGCGACCCCAAATCAACATTCTTTTCAAACACTTTAGGAATTAGACTGACGCTACACCAGACAGTGATTTCTAACAGAACAAAAGGTCAAATTTTGCAAGAAATGAAAAGGGGGGAAATTTCAAGACTAGGGCATTTCAATTTAGGGCACACAATTTCAATAAAATTTCCCCCCAAAAAAAAAAGCAAATACAACAGAAAGATATCAACACACGATAAGGGGCATATCAAAACTTGCTCATAATTTTCACAGCCAGAAAAAAAAAAAAAAGGGTAACCTCGAACACGAAAAGGGAAAATAAATAATTTTATTTTATTTTATATAAAAAAAAAGAGGTATTTTTGAGAGTGTGTACCAGAAGACGAGAGAGAGAGAGTGTGAAGAAGCTGCACAGAAAGTTCAGAGAGATCCCACAAACGCCAAGCACTGTAAAACTAAAAAATGTTGAAAAAGGGGGCAATAAAAATGGCTGCATGTAAGGAGATTTATGACAAGAAAACAAAAGGAATTATAAATTAAAATAAAATAAAATAAAAGGTTGTGGTTGCTTTTGTTTGGCTAATGTAAAAGAGAAAAGCAAAGGCGTAAGCGCGTAACCGCGGGAGACTATTGGGATATTCGGAGCTTACGTGGCGTGAGCACCGATAGGTCGTTACTTCTGGAGTAAGCTGTGTGGTGTTGGGCCGAAAAATTTGACACGACTCAGTTGTAACAATTGGATGAACGATGTTTTCCGAAGGATGACACTCATAAATCGAGAATAAATGGCCTAAATAAACTCAAATGAACAACATATATAATGTTCGAAGGCAGACTAGACCGAGTGAAGATAAAATCCCTACACAAGAGGATCACCGAGCTTTGGATTTAAAGTGTGCTAAATAATGAACTCGATAATTTAATATCAACAATATGTTAGGGTTAAAACTTAAAAGAAAACTCTGGTCTCTGTCTAGTTCACCCATTGAACTCTTGAATGTAGCTTGTTTCTATAGCTCACACTCTGGCTCACTAGCTTGCACCTCGACATTCAACTCTTAAGTCATAATTAAAACTCTCATACCTCTACCTCATGCACTCATAGCCCGAGCTCTTTTTGGTGTCCTTAAGTTTTTTTGGTTTAGTCTGGTTAATTTTGAAAAATGTGGTATGGATAGCTGTCAGTAAGTATATTCAAATAATAATTAAAATTGGTTTATGCACTCATAGCCCGAGCTCTTTTTGGTGTCCTTAAATTTTTTGGTTTGGTCTGATTAATTTTGAAAAATGTGGTATGGATAGCTGTCAATAAGTATATTCAAATAATAATTAAAATTGGTTTGATGTAAAAGCATAGTTTTTAAACTCCGCCTGAAAATTGACCCGGACAAGTCTCTGGGTCACCAGGCGGTTGAATATACCGCCTGGTTGAATATATCAAGTTATTGTTGAACCGGAAATTAATTTTAAAAATTTCTTAAATTATAAATATAGTTTTTTTTACATATATATATATATATATATATATACATAAAAAGTAACAAAAATAATTATTTTGCATATAAAATTTGTACATCAAAGTGTTAAAAGGATTGTATCTCATAATTAATATTTACTATATCATTATATTTACATAGTTTTTATATTTTTATATAAATAATATTAAAAAAATAAAAAAATATATATATAGATCGGGTCAACCGGGTCAAAGCCGGGTTGGTCGAGTTTTGACCGTATCCATTGTTATCCAGTCCAAATAGTCCACCCGAACCGGTTCCAGCTCCGGGTCGGTCGGGTCCCCAGTCGACCCACCGGGCCGGTCCGGATTGAAAAACAATGTGTAAAAGTAGTAGAAAGATGATTTGAATCGATGGTTAGTTAAAATAATTTGAATGGATGAATAGTGAATTAAAGTTGATGTAGCGTGAATGATTGATTGATATTATTTGATTATATTGATAATACGATAGTGAGATTGAGTTAAGGTTGAGTTTAAAAAAGTGGTTGGATTCAATGAAAAATTATAGAAATTTTCTACAAACAAACATGCTCTAAAATTACCACTTAAAATTTAATATAGTTATTCTTAGACATTTAGGATCAAATTTGCAACTGTAAAATTAAATTTACGATATTATTTTTTTTGTATTTTTTTTCATTTCAAACCACTCATATTTTTGAAATTAAAGGATTTCAAACATGTGGATGATGAGATGTCGATCTTTCTTTTAAAAATGTAATCCCACCAGAATTTTCTAGTCATGAAAGGTCAATATCATGGATAAGAAAACATGTGTCTCATTTCGTGCAATCCTATTGATGTTAAATTTTTATGAATAGTTTATTAAAGAAATAAATAGAATTTGTTTTTTGTTCTAAAATTTGAATGAGAAAATTAAGAAAAAATACATGGATGGATAATATCGAGCTTTTTTTTTCCGGTACAATAAAAGAGATAATATCGAGCTTTTGAATACAAATTAAATTCGATTTTGTCTCGACAAATAGTTTTTTATTTGAATTGTTATTGGATAATATCATGTATTTCAATCTTTTTCTTCTGAATCTTATCATTACAATCTGATACAATTATAAAAATAACTACTATCAAATTTTACTCTTGACAAGACTTCTAATTTCTATTTCTTTTTTAAAAGAAATTGAACAAGTGCATAATTTGTGCGCGATACAAGGTAATAATAATCATTACAAGAAAATTATGAAATTTCAATAGAAATATATTCTAATAGAATTATTCTAATGGATATTTCAATATATTATTTTCGTTGAAATTTTTTAATGTATTCCAACAGAAATTCTAACAAAAATATTCCATTTGAATGGGATTTGCATTGAAATTTTCGTTGGATTTTGACAATTTCAACGGTGGATTTTCCAACGGGGTTGAAAATAAAAATTTCAACAGAAATTGCATATTCCAACGGTAATAACTACGGTAAAAAGGCATTGGAAATATAGTCGTTGGAATCTTAAAATTTCATCTAAAATTCCAATGAAAAACACATTCCAATGAAATATTTCCGTTAGAACTATTCCAATGGAAGCTATACCATTGGAATACTCGTTAGAATTTACATTGAAATATATCACCATAAAATTTTTCGTTGGAATATAATAATTTTTTTGTAGTGAATAAATCGCATAGATTAAAAAGAAAAAGAGTATCGTTTAGTATAAAGCTAATTTTGGGTATAAATACAATTTTTTTTTTTTAATTTTACATTTTTATTTTTATGATATATAATAATTTAATATAGAATTTAATATGTGTATTTAACTCGTTATAACATAACTTCCATTTTATTGTTTATGTTTAGAAATTAAGAGATATTACAATTCAACAAATTCATACATTATCAACAAATAATATATACAAAAATACTTCTTATCTTTCTCTTACTCATATCATATTACACTAAGTTATTTCGATTCTTAAATAAGTGATAATGAAGTTAAAATATTCTGTCAAACATTATAACTGACGTTTAAAAAGAGTGTTGGAGCTTCAATTAATAAAACGATGAACGGCGCTAAAACCCTAACGACTACCATCCGCCACACCGGAACGACGCCATTTGACCCCAGCGATTCACGCCATGACACAGTTTTCCTTGCTTTGGACCGTAACAACATCATGGTGGCCAAAGGTCTATAAAACACTCGAGCGCGCTGGTGATTTGTTGGAGAGACAGTCCCCCCTGCGCCAAGCCTCGCCGCCTCCTGTCGCAATTCTGGAAAATCCGAACACGAAATGATCTTATCGGGACATGATTACCAAACAACGCAACCATGTGGATCTGCTATCTGATGATGAAGGAAAAGAGACTGAAGAGGAGGCCGGGGAGGTCACGGTGGATCTCGCACGCCCTCTGCCGGAGTTACGGATTACGCAACCATTTTTTGATCGCATTAATAATGAGTGGAGAAATGCAGTAGTGATAAAACCGTTTGATGAATCGCTTACTATGGCATCCTTGTACAACCGGCTCACTAGGATGAGGCCTTTCTTGGCGGGGTGCAATATGATGGACCTTGAGAACGACTTTTACTTGATCCACTTACGCAAGCACGAGGACACTGTCACTGTCCTTACTGGAGGACCATATGTTGTCGGGAATAGCTACATGCACGTCCAACCCTGGACTCTCTCGTTTGATGCTATGAATGAGGAATTGACAACTACGGTAGCGTGGATTAGGTTGCCCGGAATGCCGGCCCATTTGTATCATCAGAAAATATTCCGTATGATCGGGAAAATCGTGGGCAAGGTAGTAAAAATTGACCAACATACGGCAGCCTTAACTCGAGGGAAATATGCCCAGCTTGCGGTGATGGTGGACCTGACTAAGCCGCTTTGTGTACAATTTAACATCAATGGGAAATGCCAAAGGGTGATCTACGAGAATTTGCCTACCATATGTTTCCACTGTGGGCGAATTGGACACTCGAGTCATAGTTGTCTTTATCGACCGGTTGAGCCTGCTCAAGAAGGCAACAAGGACAGGCGATCGACCGGGGACACAAACAATGGTAACGAGGCTGATGTTGACTCGGGAAGTAAGACAGGGAGTGTGGGCGGTTCGGTGGAATCAGTGTATGGGCCTTGGATTCAGGTACCACAACGCCAACGGCAATTATACACAAAGCGCGATAAGGGCACAGATAAAACACCATCCACGAGGAATCCACGCGCGGCACAAGGGACGGGCTCTCGGTTCGAGATGTTGGATAGTGAAGATACGCGGGACAAAAATTACTCGTTCGAATTCGGCGCCCCGTCATCCAAGCAGAATGTGGAAACTACTGCAGTGCCCCTGTATAAGGCGACTGAGACGGGCGAAAAAGATTGGTATCAAGTGAGGGGCCGGGAATAGATTAAGCGTAACAATGTAGTGGGAAGTAAAAATCTGGGCGGTGTATCGGGGCGAGAGATGAACAGCAAAACCACGAGCAACATTGAACGGGAGCGTGAGGCAATTCAGTCACGTGGGAAAGAAAAGG